TTAAACATGTTAGCTTTGTCGTCTGGTGTGACGACCAAGTTTCCCAACGCGTCCTGCAAGGGCCCCACATTACCTGGGACCTTCTTTTTACCCCCTATGTATTTAAAAAAAGACATAACTAGAGCCAATAGTAGGAAGCTGAAGTAACAAGTTCAAATAAAAAAAAAGGCATAATTTTTTGACCATGAGGAAAATTAACTATTGGAACAAATTGCCTAAGGACATGCTGGATTCTCCAGCTCTTAATATCTTCAGATCAAAACTGAATGCTTTTATGGGAGATGCCAAACTATATAAGATTCCAGGTTCAATACAAGGATGCTTGGGCAACATTAAAGTCCTGTGTCGGAGGTGCTTACATCAGATGGTCTAATCCAGTGGTTCTCAACCTTTTTTGTACCAGGACCTATTTGTAAACATAGATGGCAAGTCCTGACCCCCTGCCCCCAGCCCTATAGTACATGGGGTAGGGGGTGCGTGTGTGGGGCAAGGGCGGTATGGGGAGCCCCAAGCAGCCTCTTGTAGGCTGGAAGTCTGCCAGCCTACAAGGGAAAACCCATGGCTTCCCACGTTTTTCTACTTTAAAGGTGAATCCATTTTTGAAGTGTGTTCACAACCCTTTCATATATTTTTGTGACCCATGGGTTGAGAAATGCTGATCTAATTGATCTTTCTGGCCTTACACTACCATATTTTCTCACATACAACACAAACCTTTTATACAAAATCACCCCTGCCTCCCAAATTGGGGTGCATGTTTTTAGTGGGGAAGTTGGTTTCATCGCTGGAAAAGTGAGCCTGGAGACGCTGCGAATGCTGTACAGCTGCCAAGGTATCTGCTGAAGGGGCAGTCTTCTGTTAATCCTTTCACTGCAGTGGCTATTGACTGAGCATTGTCCTGTGTACCTGAAGTAGCAAGTGTTCATAGTATCTTAAGGCTTGTGATTTGGAAACAACTCTTTATTTACAGGAACTTATATAAAGAACTACTTACAGTAAAGAACTAACAGTTTTGCTGTGGTCCCTGTGTGACAGAGTAAGTCCTTTTGGCAATATAGAGCAGTGTTTCTCAACCTTTTAAGTAGCAAGCACCCCCTAACTTCTGAAAATTTTAATAAATACCCCACCACTCAATTTGCCATCTGTTGGAAGAAGGGCTGTGTATATAAAGTCATGATATAACATGTCTGATCTGGTGTGGATAGGGTTTTACACTGGGGTGCACAACTCAAGTATGTACCTGTGCTAGAGGTGATGTTGGCCAAAGCTAGGAGGGCTGAACCCAGTGCTGTGCAAAGTTATTACCAGGGAATTTAAATTTTTTGCCATAGTTTTGAGAGGAAAAGGGGGGGAGAGAGAGGAAAAGAAGGTGAGAGAGTGTTGGGATACCCACATACCCACTGCCTGTGACTTGTGTACCCACAGTTGAGAAACTATAATATAGAGGGTCCAAAAAGTGTGGCAGTGCAGGAGATGGTTTGCCACAACAGGAAGTTCTTAATGCCACACTTACTGAACGCACTGTTTCCAGGAGGGATACTTATTGTATGCAACACAGTTGGCTGTAGCTCTGGAATTTTTTTTTTAAACATTTTTATATTCTGCCTCACAAAAGCAAGATGTGTGTTTTATTGAGGGGAGAGGGGAAGATTGTATGCAAGAAAATACAGCACATATAAAGTTGATTCAATTAATAAATATTTGCAGAATGAAGGCCTCAGTGGTGGTGTTCTACACTGCACATATCTACACTTCCAGTATTTTTCTATTAATATGGAAAAGCCCTGTGTTGTTTGCTCAGTGTCTGAAAGCTAACTGTATTGAAATTATTGTATAAAATCTTGTTAAGGCAATATCAGACTTGAATGGTCAATAATATATCTTGTTGTTTGTTTTGGCAGTTGGAAAAATGCCTAGATGATGCCACAAGAAAAAATAATTTCCAGTCATTAGAGCAATTTCTGCAAAAAGAAAGTAATGATGGTATTTCTCATAAATGCAGCAAGCAGTTTTTTAACAAATTAGACAAACTTATATGCCGGGTAATCCTCTTTTTTTTAAATCAAAAGTTCCTATGCTATTGTTGCTTGTGTAGTGTTGCAAAATCATTTTGTAGGATGGTCTGGATTACATCAATGGAAGGCCAAAAAATTCTGTGGGTTCCATACTGTTCTTGAAAATATTTCCTTCAGAGAAGACAATTTTATTTATTTAGTGGGCAGATTTCTGTTGTTTAAATAAATTGACCTTTGGTGCCCTGTTGTTAATCGTATTTCCCTTAAGACTGAGTAGTTTGTATATTTGAATCAATCCCAAAGCAATGTATTATTGGAATTTCTGTAATACTTGCTTTACTTGACAAGCTTGAGGCATTTAATAGATTCCATAGCAGAGAACAGTGCAGTGCAGCTATATCCTTCGGTGCTGCATTCAAGATTCTCTAGAACTAATGCGACATTCAGGGAAGTGGACAATGGTGTTGTTCTGTAGACTGTTATGAATCCCTTAGGTATCAATCCTTCCCTTGTACAGTTAATCAGTAGTACTATATTAGAAACAGTAATTCTGAGTAACACATCTCAGTAAATATATTTATGTTAACTATTTATATAAAGGGAAGGAGATTATTACAATGCTTCTTATTTTTTAATTGAGCTATACAGTATTTAGAAAAATGTTAGACTTCTAACTTACTGAAGGAAAGGAAGACAGTCTTTTTGAGCTATTATCATGCTTTGTAACAATTATTGTGACATTTCTTACAAGTGCATTTTTTTTTTTTAAAGATTCAGTTCATTTTGAGACAATTGTTCTGGGATGATCTGTTTCTCTTCTCCTCCCCCCATCTGAAAATCTCTTAACTCTTTTCATATATGTTTGTGAATATAATAGTTGTATATAATTCTTTGCCAGGAATAACTAGCAGGAATAAATAGATAATACCCTTAGATTTCATTTTTTTTAACTTCCTATGACACTAAAATAGAGATCTTTAGTGACCTCCAGTGTTAAAGAGTGAGAATATAGAGTACCACTGATTCTTTTGGGGCAGCAGTTCAACTTGAAATTGCAAGGATTTTCTCTGTCCAGTTGCTGAAAGACAAATACTTCTAGCAGTGGTTGGATTGATTTGTAAGAACAGAATAGCATATATAATGCTGACAGACTATATAATAAAGCTTATATTACTTTTTCAATTTTAGGAATTAGATGAGAAAGAAGTAAAGAACGTTTCAACTTTGTTAAATTCTCTTCAGAAATTTGGTAAAAATATCAGCATACAAGGTGAAGATGGTATTCCAGCAATGATAAAATATGGTCTTGTTGAAAAGATAAGTATAAACAAATGGAAAAAAATTATTCTTTTAATTAACCCTAAATAATGCATCTACTATAAATACCTTAATATGGTAGTTGCCAAGATTATGGGAAATCTTGCTCACTCAGAAGTAACTGTTGATTCCCAGTACTATATGGCAAAGTCATAAACAGCTCCTTGTAAGGAGATACTAAAACGAGATAATAAAGCTGTCCTATGTTAATGTCATGTTTAAGTAATGTAAGTATGCTAGTAGTTATTCAAATAAATGACAGCACCTTTTTCATAAGAACTTTCTTTTTGCCTAAATTAGGTTTTATCTATATTTTAATAAAAATTAGACGGGTGAGAAAAAGAACTATATTTGAGCCTGCCATATAACAAGAGTAATTTTTCTACTGAGAATTGGAATTTCTTGGTGCAGTTGTTAATAAATGTAGCATTACAGCTAGTAACAGTAACCCCAGACTTTGTACTTCCCAAAGTTTAGGACACTATTTCAATTATATTTGATAAATACAACCTGTATAATGAATGTGCCAGCCATCCTTGACTTAGATTTTATATATTTATATTGATATAATATGGGCTGCTTCCAAATTACCTTTTGTAGCTCTTCACTGAATAGAATTATTAGCAGCATAAGAACAGAATGACTACTGGTTTCCTTCTCAACTGCTTTTAGAAAGAAAATTCCAAGTCAGTTAGTGATTAATGTTATTATACCATTCACATTTATAGTTAATTATCTGACCATTTTAAGCCATCTTCCAATTGATTTATTTATTTATTTTGGCATAACCCATTACAGTCACAAAAGTGAATGCACAGCTTTTGTACTTGGAAGTCAGGCCACCAGGCCAGGTCATTTACTGCCTTTTACTTCAGTAGACAGAAATCAGCCATATTTGCTGAAATGTATGTGTAAAATTGAGGTTTGGGCTGTACTCTGGACAAAAGAGACAAAGTCTTCAGGTTAAAGAGAATGATCCTCATTACTTGGTAAAGTATAATGCAAAGTGCTCTTCTTGCTCTGTTTCATTTTATGACACTAACGAATGTAATGTTTTTATTTTCCCATTACATGGTTAATTGGTTTGAAAAGGCAAAAGAAATTCTGATACATAAAGGAAATGAAAAAAATGACATGCTGGAAAGTCTAATTGAAGATTTCTTTGATGTTTTAATGGTAAACATAATTTCATAAAACATTTTATAAAGTATCAGATTTATAAAAATAAGACTAGCAATTTAACAGCAAAAGGCACTTTCAATTTTTTTAATTTAATTTCCTTTTTTGGCTAATGTTTTACTATTTTGTATAAAATATTTATTAGGACTTTATACATACTTAATCAGTATGTATAGGCAATAGTATCTATACATAAGAAACTTGATATTCCAAGTACTTATGCAGAAAATGTCTAAACTCATGCACAAAATGTCTTAGTATTCAATGCAAAAAATACTGTAGAGTACATATATATTATCCCTCTTATGCCCTGATTATGCAAACAGTTTATATCTGCTTAATTTTCTGCAGTGGAACTACTTGAGTTCATAAAATTATGTTCACATGTCAGTAGGGATTTAAGTATTATCATAGATACTAAACTAAAATAGATTTGTATTGTTATGTGCTTGTCTGACCCATGAAATATGTCCAGTCTTATGTTTAGTTTTGAGGGATAGAGTTGTAAAACTTCAAGTCTTTTGATCAAATATTTTGGTATATGTACATAAAGTAAATTATTTATATGTTACTTTTGTAACACTTGAAATAGTAAGATATATTATTATTTTTATTGCAGATTGTACATGATATGAACACTGAAGGTATGTAAAAAAAAATGTAGATACTGTTAGTCAAGCCTTTTGGTAATCACATCTCTTTTTCGAGTGGTCATTGTTAACATTGTTTCCTGATCAAACCAAAATTTGTGACGTTTGGAACCATACATATTCTGAAAGCTTATACAGTCTTAGCCTGCTATAGAAACAATGAAGACTCACCTAAAAGCACAAGGACTTGTGCAAATGAACCTTTAAGTCCTTGCAGACAAAGTTCTTTGGGTAAATGTGATATCTTAGACCTACTAATAGTTGGAAAAAATGTTCTTTGCAAGCTTTTGGGTACAAACACCTATGTCCTTAGACCTACAACCAACAGCACTTTAAGTCCTTGCAGAATTAAAACTTCTCATTTCCTGACAATGGTGTTAACTTATCTGGAAATAATTCAGTTGTATGTTGTAGTAGTTCTCCTGTGCATGTAACCAAATCAGTAGGCCTGTGTGAAATGGCTAGTATTCGCTTCAGATTCGGCCGATTCAGGGGGCAGTGATTCAATTCGGTGATTCAGATCACTGTCCCGATTTGATTCGGGCTAATCTGATTTGGAGATTCAGCTGCTGCCGAATCTCTGAATCAGCCAGGCCAGGCCCATCCCCTGCCCACTGTCCCAACCTGGCAATGGCTGCCCTGCCTGCCCCAGCTCTCAGGACTTGTTAAAAAATAAAAGCCCCAACTCAGTAGGTGCTGCCGGGGGGGTGGGGGCGATCCCTGCTGCCCCCCACTGCCCCAAGCTGCATGGGGGGCTTTGCACAAACCCCCCAACCCCCCCCCACTCCACCAGTCTGGGCCAGCTGTGGCCCTTTAAGAACCCCCCCCCCGAAAACCCCACAGACTCACCACTTCTGCTGGTGGGGAGCAACCCGCACTGTCCCA